TCTCTCCCTCTACTAATATTCTCTAATATTACTCCATCATCCCTTTTCTCAGCTCATTATACGTCAACTTATATCTAACCGTTTCTCAATCATTGCCTTTAGTTCACTCTTTCTTCTTCTAACACCTGATACGTGCTATCATCCTTTTTATTTTCCCTCTTTCTTCCTCTGTCAGATAGCTGAGATATCCTTTTTAAGATATCTTTAATTTTGTTCCAATCTTCTTGTTAAGGTATCATCTTCATAGAATGTTTACTACAACCTCGCCTCTCAGTAGTGATTGTGAATTTAAGCCAGTCCAATTCTTCACGTTGTCTGAACACTGTTTCCTATCCGGACCTCTTTTACAATCAACTTTACCTTGCATTAAAAGTAACGAATTCCTAACTTCTGCCTTTGTAAATATGACCCAAATGGCTTATCTTTCGTCTTTTGACAATTGCAAGAATTTCTTTATCTACAGTCATTCTTCTTAGTACAGTTTCATTTGAAAAGCATCTCGTCCGTGATAGTTTAAGCATTCTGCGTGTTACCTACATTTTTCTCCTCCTTTTCCAACTCCTATCGTCGAAAGATTGAATGAATTCATAAAATCTGTATATGACGCTTAACGATAGTACGGGCTTTGTTAGTAATTTTTTCATTTTGAGTATTGCGTTCCTTGCATTTTCTATGCATCGCATTTCCACTTCCGGTTTCAAATCCGTTGCAATCCAGCATCGTAGGTATTTGATTTTGTCAACCTGTTCTATTCGTTTGTTGTGGACAGTTGGTGATATTGGTGAAGATTTTGTAGCCTTTTGGCTCTTCCATTATAGTTAACATTTATTCCTTCCTTGATACTTTCTGTAATCTTATTTTTTAATCTTATATTACACCTCTATAATAAACCTTCTTCATATTTTATCTTGCTGTTCACCTGTTTCACTATCATATTTCCAGACATCTATTTTTTTCTATTGTTTAAATACATATACATTGTCTATCATCCCTCTTCCTCTTCTAAATCCTGATTGTTCATCCGGCAAAAATTTTTTTCTACATTTGAATTCTCAGTTATTTCTTTTCACAATTTATGCACATATCTAATATGTAGTACTAAGCTGGACTAGATAGTTTGCTATGTACTAGATGTAGTACTTAACTGTATAGAGTAGGTTTATTCCTCATTAATTTTGCGTAGTGACTTTTTCCCCTTCTTTACAAACCCCTTTCAAATCTTATTCAAAACTTCTAGAAATATCTTTCCAGCCTCCTGCATTGTTTCCAGCCAATCTTCATTGTGCAGCCTTCCTCTCCTACCACTTTCCTCTACGCTTGAAAGACTCACCCTTTCCTCAAGCCTTACACCCTTCGATTACTTCCATGAAGTGTTTTTTTCTAAATTCTTAGAGATATCATGAACGTCATATGCTCGCGCTTTTTTTCTTTTTAGTTATATATTTCCATATTTCAATGTTATCCGTTATCGTACGGATTAATGGTATGCTAATATCTCCTCCTGCTCTACTATTACGCTTATCTTTACTTCCCTCCCTCTTCGCTACACAACATTCGCTATCCTACCGGCCGTTTCCTCTCAATATATATACTGTTTATCATTGTTTCTCCCGATACCTCAATTAATTCGTCTATGCTCTATTCGTTCTAATTTCCCTTGGTAATTTCTGCATCTTTCTATCTGAGATTTTTCTTACCTTTTTATTTCCCTATATCTTTCTTTTCCTTATTCCGATCACTAGCAATTTAGTATAATTCATTTATTATCTGTCATTTCCTTTTATCTGATTATTGTCTTCTTCCATTCGTTGATAATCAAAATGTACTGTTTCTCCAATTTTATCATCAAGTTTATCATCATATAACATAGAACACATTTCTGTTCGATATTTTGCACTCTTTCTATTGCATCCATTGCAACAACTCTCCATCCTATTTTATCTTTTGATCTACTTTCAACATCAGCCTGCTCTCACTTTTCTGTTCCACCATCATCCCCAGTTCTTGTATTAAAATATTTCTATAACTAGGGTATATCCTTGTCTGCCATCTTCTATCACTATTTCCAATTTTCTTCTAGTTTCTTTGATCTTTCTACTACACACTGCAATTATTTTCATCTCATGTTCATCTACCCTTATCTCTCTTTTCGCCATCTCTATGTACTTTAATATAAATTGCTGTGACGTGGCTTTATCGTTTATAGTTGCTATAATGTATCCTCCGATTTTCTATCTTTATCATATTCTAAAACCGCATACCTTATACATTGCTTATATCTTACTTTCGAGATTCAGGAAGATTATTATACTGCTATATCATTCTCATCTATTTCGTACTTCTACATTGATAATCAGTTATTTTTTTAATTTCTTCAAATCTCTCTTCAACATTGGGTTTTTTGCTTCTTGTCTTATGATCACTCTGAATATTTTTTTTTATATATACACGAATCGACCTTTGTGGTTTCGAATTGTAAGCAAAATCCATAAAATCATGTATTTGGAAGTTAGGTGTTTACGGTTTGGTTTAACGGTTGCTGAATTAACATTGATGAATACATTTTCAATTTAAATAATAAAAAAAGGCACTTGCTTCAATTTTATAATGGTAAAGTGTGTGATTAACTTATCGAATATCTTGAGATTAATCCAGGCTCAGAAGGAAAAGCTGTTGAGGGTAAGAAGTGTTCGATTAAGAATCAGGTATTTTAAGCTGAACGTATCTTAACGATTTTAATTAAAGTATATTATATAAGAGTCGCAGATAAGGTTGGGAACCGGATTGCATTGTAATAAAAAGAAATGCATCGTTCTCCAATAAATTGTAGGCGTTGATTAAAAGCGTTGGTATGCGGTTATCGGCGCCCGCCATAAATTTAATCAAATTAAAGCGGAATGCTCGGTGTCGTAAATTAAAATAAATGCGTCCTAATCGGCATCATTTCTTTTTCCACCTCTTATGCAAACGGCGGTCAATTTAATAACATTTAGAATCGTTGCGCTTTTGATGTGCGCGTGGGCTTACCGTTAGTATAACGTTAATTGACCGTAACATTTACATTATTATCGATTTTACTCTTATAAACTTGTTTGGGCTTATTGGTTCTTTAATCAAATAATTATACGGTTTATCGAATCTAAATTAGAAAGTTCGTTAATAGAAGTTTCCGTGACTTTCAATTATCAAACTGTAAAACTGCCAAACGTTGATTGATTCTTTTCGTTCCTTGCTGAAATTACTTTTCGAACTAATTTAACCTTTACCGGTTTCGCGTGAAATAATCGAAGATACAACCCAGATCTCCTGTGTGATTTACGTAAAACGAGTTTGGTCTTCTTGGATCGAGAATTCTTGGAAGTAACCGTCACGGCTTAATTTCTTCTCCCTTGGGACAGCTTCCGTTTCTTTGAAGCATTTAAGGGTGGTGGGTCTCCTTTTTAAAAAAGAATTCGTGTCGGTTGTGGTGGACGTGTATAGTTTCAAAGGTTTGTTCGAATTGTTCGTCTATTGTGGTGGTCAGTTCAAATTTTTAAAAGGAACTCAAAGGTATCTATTACACATTTTCCAAGTAGTGAAAGATCCGTTTACGAAAAAACAGTGTCTTTAGAAAAATCTTTCCGTTAGCAAAATTATTAAGTATGTATCGAATTCATCGTCCGGAAAATGTGCCGACCAATCACGATCTTCTCGCTCAACTTAATTATAACACGACACGAGGGTCCGATAATGCGAAAACTTTTCACTTCACCAAGATTACGAAATGCCTTTAACCGGTTCGATCATCATCGTGTGGCACGCAAACGTTCGCAAGCATATAAAGAGGGAGACTACGTCCATGTTTTTTTGCCCTTCTTTTTTCGTCACGCTCGCTGCATAGGGGACTTTCGACGTGTTACCGATACCGACGGACCCATTTGTACCTACACATCTCGGCAGATAAAGTCCCGAAGATGATTGATGAGGGCCGAGTCCGGATTTACATTTTTTTTCCCATAGCCGAAGATTCATTTGTAAATGGAAATAAGGGCGATAACAGCTGTAATATATTTTCGAGAATCGACACTTCGAATGCAACGAACGCGATTCTTCAGTGTTAATGTTCCCATTTTTTTTCTAGATAATCGACCAGCGGTAGTCAATGTTTTGACGTGAAATTGATAAGTTATTTGAAGTTTTTCTTTGATTGGTTTGTTTTTTGATGTTTATCTATGTGTGGTTTATTTTTGTATTATTTTTTTCTTGGAAGAGTGTGAATGGGTAACACCAAAGGGAAACCATCATTTGTCAAGATGACACGTGAGAGAGACATAACAGATGAAAAAATAATCCCTACTATGACAAGCTAGATATTTTCATCCCTTTGTACCAGTTTCTGGTTTCTGAAATAGGGTTTTCTGAAAGGGTTGATGACAACCATTCAGGTAACATCTGTCAGTAAATAATAACTCATTTCATAAATTGTAAGTAAAATTTAATGAATGTTTTAACAACATTCAATGAAAGGTATCCATAAAACATCAAATACATGTAAATAAGACAGTTTCTAATTTTCTTAATGGCACTGGTGGTGCTATCTCATTATTTCGACCCCTGACGGGTACAAAATTTATTTTCAACGTTCTATACACGTTGATTGAATTAATCTATTTATGGGTGTAGACGAATTTGTTCCGCATAACTGAGTTACAAATTTATTTCTTTAGCTAATCTTTGGGGTGAAAATTTTCGTAGTAAAATCGTTTTTATCGATTAAAAATCGTATTTTTTACTCAATAAAACATACGTTTTGATACCATATTCTGTTCTTTGTGAAATTAGGGATACAAAGAGAGGGAAAAGAGGAGGTTACATGATCATGTAACCGTAAGAGAGGGAAATAGGGAATCCGGGATACACCGGGGCCGTGCGAAAAGAGGATGCAAGTGGGGACTCCGGGTTTCTGGTGGGGGAGATCCGCCTCGATTGGGCTTTTGGGTTCGCGGAGTTGGTTAGTTTGGTGTCCTGCCGTACGTCGATAGGTCGCACTCCAAGGACCAAAAGCTCTCGAACACTTTGCTTGATCGAGCACGCGACTACGAGCTTTTCAGAGTTTATGCTTAGTGTATCTTATTTTCTTTTCTAATCGCGTTGTGGTGATTAATTTTTATTCATTGGATCGCCGTGAATCTGGATAATGGAAATTTCGAACTGTTAATGTAAGTTAAAGATTATTTTTATCTTAAAATATTTGAACTTTAAAAAACCATTATTTTGTCATTAAACTTATTTTTGGTTTTATTTGTTTTCTTAAATTATCTTGTGTAAATATATACAAAAATTACTATTTTTATCTTTTGTCTCACGACTTTTAACCTAATAACTTAAACATGATATGTTTTGCTTAAAGAATTTTTGCATAGATAAGTAAGTGGAACGTAACAAATCCGATGTAAAACAATAGCAAATTTGTTCGTTTAAATTCCTAACACGTTCAACAATACTAAGAAATTTGTATCTGAACATGCAACTATAACAATAGGTAATTCGGAATCGATTTTCAATTTACATAGAATCCTTGTAATTGTCTGGATATGTATATTTTTTGCACACTATTTGCATGGTAATATTAACGTAGATGATTCAGGAACGTTTTCCGGTCACGAACATGAGATCCGATCCTTAGTTATTTATATCCATCACTACTTTAAACGTTAAACCAAGGGGCGATAAGTATTCGTTTTAAGTTTTATAGATATCCGTTTAATAGATAATAATTATAGCATGGCGCTCGACTCATTTGTGATAAGAAAAAAGTATAAAGATAAATGATCCATTAAAAGGGGAGTAGGTATTGGTCATAAAGTTAAATAGTTACCCAAATTCAACGGTCATCATTATGTTGTGTGTTTTGTTCTATACAAACAATAAGATAAGTATGCACGAGAATCAATATTTCTTTTGTATAGTGTATGTGATGATCGAGTGAATCTGGTTCGCTCATATTTCAGTCAAGAGACAGTTACGTTTGAAAGGAAAAAGAAAGGAATTTGAATTGGTTGAATTTTCGTTTCCGGTCGGCTGAGCCGAGCAAAGAATTGCTTTTCCAATAGAATCTCTTTGAGCTCGCCTTCGAGATTTCGCGACGCGATTCGTTTTCTTTAGAACGATCGTTTCACAGTTTCCTTTTATTCTTCTTCTTATTCCCCTTTAAGTTGCATTCGTCGCTAGAATTGTGCATTACTTAGTTGACTAACCCTCTTTGAGTGGGTTTTCCTAACTCTAGAATTTAAACGGATTAAGTGCTTCCTGCGCTTTCTTCTTCTTCTTCGTATTCAAAGTACTACACGCGGTTGTTTGCCTCTCACAAACATTCAACCGTAACTCAAACACTACGGCGTCATTAGATATGGAAATATTTATAATTCTCTTCGTAAACGTTTTTTTTTCCTTCCACTTCCAGGTAGGGGGTTGTAACCGTCTCTGTTTAGACTACGGCGTCTCCGTGTTTACGCTCTTAAATATCTCTTTTGGATATAATTCGTCAAGTCTGGGTGGGGTACGTAGCACCGTTCGTTCCACTTTAGTTTATGTTACCGCCGATGCTTATTTTGTCCCCTAGTTAGCAAACAAGGTCTTCGAATTAGAGGGTCGGTGTAAATAAGTGGAAGTCGTAAAAAATACACTCCTTTCTAAACCAAGATTAACTATGTTTCTCAAAGTTTTACGGGATTACATAAGCTATAACTTGAAATGTACGGTAGAGAAGAAACCAATTTATCACTAAATCAATACCTTTAGCTCTACACAACATTCATTCCAGACGTCCATTCTCCTTATTTTCTTCGGCGGATTTATCGTACTGGACATATGAGCCTAATAAATCCTCCTCGCCAGATCGGGGTGATTTAGAAGGCGAACTTTCAATTGAATCAATCCCTAGGACGCGGTAGTAAACAAGTTCTATTCAGTTATCGGGTACGGATTCGCGGCGCCAGCGAATTTCTGGCCCACCGTTGATGTAAATTTTCGCTTAGACGGTCGATTAATCATCCATCTCTACTAGGACGATGGTCACCCCGAAACGATTTCCAGAGCGATTAAACACCGGTTGTCCATCAATCATCGGCGTCCATTCATCTTCGAATTCGAACGGGTGACGGGCGAGATTCGTTTAATTTTTATTTTGCGCCAAACGGATATTAATAGCGAAATAATCTCATTGAAGATTTTAATCTTTAATTAAATCCCGTTGATTATAACTTTCGAAACAATTCTCTTCCTGCAAAGTCTCCATACTAGTAAATGTTATCACGAAATAATAAGCGTTACGAAAATGGTAATGCGAAAGTTACCGTGGTAGTAAACGTGTTTAAACCGGCCACTTTCGCCGTTAGGGGATCAGAGAAGCTCCCGAAGTCTCCATGACAACAGGTGCGGGAAACCCTTGTTCCTGTAGGCCCCTTAATAACACCGGAAGTCACGGCATAACTGGTACGAAGGGTTTCATGGAGGATTTATTAAAAATACCTCATAACTTCGTCAACCCTTTGAACTCTCACTTTTTTGTCATCGCTTTCGGTAAGAGAGGGCGGAGGGTGTGTTCTTGAAAACTTCATCCACAGGCGAAGTCGCTATGGCAATGAAGGCAATATTGGAAGCGCCACAATAATGGTGATGTGGGCAATATTACCTCGGAACACTCAAGTTCAAGTGCACGTTCTAATGCCCTCGAGTGGGTAATGAGGTTCTCGGAACATGGGAATTAGATTGGAGGAGATTAGTAATTTTTGTTAGTACAGAGTAGAAGGGGTTAAATAGAAGAACGCCAACGCTTCAATTCACTCTGACACAGATTGATGCAGTTAATTATTCATATACAAAGACGGTTTGTAAAGCAACGATGCATGCCGTTCGGACAGGAAAAGAGTGACATCAGCGGAAGGCGGCAATATATTTCTTATTTCTCTTCATTAAGTTGACACGCACAGTTTCTTTTGTAATTAGATTGGTGTGTCTTGAGTAAAATTTTTTTCAAATTCTTTTTTGACTTATAAAAAACTATTTGACTTACACTTCCATAAATCCTACTCATAGTATGAGAAAAAATTCTTCCCTTAGTTAAGTTCCCCCAAGTCATTATTTTAGATGCTTTACCATCGGTGTTCTGTCTCATTTTACATAAACATCCCCGAAGATATTGCGGCTTTAAATAAACGAGGCTCGTGCGTAAATAAGCCAGAAAAATAGAAAACTTTTCAACCTGTCGGTAGTTAAAATCTTGTAGTTCGATGACGGGTACAGATGACTGGTTAAGTAATGACATCACTCGGCGTTCGTAATGAGGCTGGTCTTAATGATCACTCTCATCGGTTTCGTAGAAAAAGTTGTCTATTTTTAATGGTCTACTTTTAACCGTTTTCTTGTAAACGAGATTAACCTTACGTTTTCGAAACGTATACCAACACTTAGTACTATCCAATTGCTTTTAAGTGTACTAAGCGCAAAGTCTAAGAATAACTAAAACTTCAAACAAGTAAACTTTGCTTGGTGACGTATCGTGCTAATACTAACTCTTAAGAGATTTTAACTATAAACCTAAACCACTCAAGCGTTCAAAAGAGTCGTGCAAAACATCTCTTTATGAACGTAAACTGATATGACATATGTGCGCAGGTGAACCATAAGACTATTTATATGGCAAAGAACCTCGCATAAATTAACCGCACTCGGCGACTTTAAATTTTTTTAATTTATATACTTTTTTTGCGCCCCCGCTGTGGCTCGTTGTTCGAGCTTTGAATTATTGTATATTGATTTTTCCCGGCGCTCGTTAAAAACCCGTTTTAATCGTTTTTTCTTTTCAAGAAAACTTTCGATATTCGTGTTTAGTATGCATAACGTCCCGCCGACTTCACATTTAAGGCCTTGTACTTAAATGAGTCTCGATTATCGCTTGGTAATATCAAACTCCTGCCTTGTAATAAACAAATATAAATGCAAATTTAAAAATTGTTTTCGAGAAAAAAATTATATACAGTACATAGTCGCTATAACGGACTAATACGCGGAAGGGAGTGTCCGTTATAACCTAAAGACCGTTATATGAAAAGTTTCTAATTTGCACTTTAAACATGCGAACGTCTGAAGTTGCACGACTAAACCCGAAACTTTGTAGTTCTTGATCTAGTGTTAGATCTTAGTTCTAGTTATAGTTCTATAACTAAAATAATATATAACTAAAACTAGGACTAACACTAGACTTAGAACTAGAAACATTTGGGTTTAGTCGTCTTAAGAGACGCACGGCTAACTAATGTTCTAATTCTAGTTCTAATGTTAGTTCTAGTGACAGTGGTAGGTAGCGCTAGTTAGCGTAAGATATCACTTTTTTACATATTTTTATTGCACTAAATCTAGAGCTAATACTATACCTAGAACTAGAAATGTTCGTGTTTAGCCGTGCGTCTTCAGACATTATCACTAGAACTGACACAAGGCCTAGAATTAGAATCATTCGGGTTTGGCAGTCTTGAGAGACGTGCGGCTAAATCGGAATGTTTCTAGTTCTTGGTCTAATGTTAGTTCCAGTATTGCACTAGCACTATCACTAGAACTAGAATTATTCGGGTTTAGCCGTCTTGAGAGACGTGCGGCTAAATCCGAATATTTCTAGTTCTCGATCTAGTATTAGTTCTACTTATCGTTTAGTAAGTAGTTTAGTAAGTAGTCGTTTTATCGTTTATCTGTGAATATCGGATAGAGCAATTTGAATAACCCGATTTGGATTCTATCTACGAGCGCTAGCTCTATCGAGGTTGAGTGTATTATTAAAAGTACCTATATGTTATTTGATAAAAAAGTTTTATAAAAATATCTATAAATAAGAAATTCAAGTACTCATAATGGGACATATTCGAGTTTGAACCGATCGCAATAAAGAACTTACGAATTTGCAATTAAAGCTGGATAGCTGAGACGGCAACGCACAAATCTCCGGGTAATATCTACTTTAAAATGCTTTATACGGGAATAAATTGCGACCCTTGAATAAAATAACGATAGGACGTTTACGAAGATCGACATAAATCGGGCCGAGAACAATGCGCCCGTGCAATCGGATCGGGCTTTAAAAAGTGAAACGTCCGTTTCAGCTCGGGTCCGAGTCGTAAGTTTTCTCACAAAACGCGCGCCGACCGGCGAAAGCTAGTTACTTATA